GCATACATGGACTTCCGTGCAAAAGAAAAGATAACGAACTGCTACAGAGGCTGCAACCTCTTCGGGTGCTGCGTCCCCCCCCCTCCCTGGGACAACTCGGGAGACCTGAGACAGTGGCGGGACCACCACACAGCTACCGGTAGGCCAAAAGCAGAATCCACAATTTGGCCTACCGGTCCCCCCGAATTTTGGACGGCTGGGGTAGTGGTGGTTTAAATGGTTGAACGCGTTCAACCTCCCCCCAGACACTTAGTTGATGTGCAAGGATGACATGACGAAAAAAGAGACACCCATCATGCTCTAGACGGGGCTTTATTTTTGCGCAGGCATTGCCCGCACAGTGAGTGAGGCAAGCTAGTTAAAATTGAAAGGCAAGTCGTTTTTTTTTTTTTTTTTTAATGCAAAGAAAGGCAAGTGAGATCATCATTCATGCGAAAAATACAAGGAAACAAAGACTTTTAAGGTTGTGAGCGATGGTGCAATGCTGACCTTCTGGCACTTCCCCTCTGACGAGAACTCCAAGCCGTGGTAGGGACATTTCACGCAACGGGAGGAGGAATGGTTGTTCGTCACCAAGACACCCATGGAAAGAGATGCTCCACGATGGGGGCACGCATCGGGTAAAGCCGCTATCTCACCTGCGATCATCACAGAGGTATGTAAAACAGACACCACTTATGTATCACATACACAATACATACATGTCCATATATATCGTCACAAACAGAACTGCCCGGTAAACCGTAGGCAGAGTATATATTGTCACATAACTATGAACTAAAAGAGCGCAATTTGCGAAACAAACGGCAAAAAAAAAAAAAAAAAAAAAAAGAAGTATACTGCCCATATCTATATAGGGAAAATTTTCGAGATGCCCCTGAAATTTCGATTACTTTGCGACGTGCCCCTCTGATGACCAACTTACCCTGTCGCGCCCCTCTGACAACGAATGATCTTTCCAGAAAACCCCTGGTGTCGTTTGGGCCTGAAACATGTTTCATATGCCGCTGCCGGTACCTCCCCCAAATTTCCAGTATGCCCCTATCGGATAGCCGTTGAGAACCAGCAGAGACATTTCCCATATTCCCCTAATGGTACCGAGCATCTTTCCAGCATGCCCCTGTGGCTGTTGTTGAGACTCTCGGCCTTTCCCCTGGCCCTGGGAGAGGATCTTTCTGACCTGCCCTCTCTCTCTCTCTCTCTCTCTCTCTCTCTCTCTCTCTCTCTCTCNTCTCTCTCTCTCTCTCTCTCTCTCTCTCACACACACACACACACACACACACACACACACACACACACACACACACACACACACACACACACTCACCTTCGCACGGCAGCAACTCCAACCAGCGAACCTGAAGAGACTGACTGCTGCAGCATTTTCGGTGGCCTGCTGCAAGGGCATCACAGAAAGATGCATGCCCCTTGTGAGGGCATTTCGATGAGGTACCGACGAAAAGCCATCCGTGGTCCGGTAAGGGCATAGCGGAAAGTTGTTCCCCATGCTGACAGGGGCCTGCAGAAAACTTCAGAGGCCCCAGGGGCACGACAGGGAAAGTCGGCGTTCAGAGGGGCACACGGCAAATTAATGGAAATTTCAGGGGCATCTCGAAAATTTTCCCATACATATATTGTCACATATTATGAACCCCGTGTGCCATAATGGCCTACTTGTATGCTGTGAGAAAGAGGCAGCGTAAGGGGGAAGGGGATAAACACAGGGAAGAGAGATGGCAAGAAGACAAACAAAGAACGACAAAGGAAAAGTAAGGGAAAGTACGGAGTGTGGAACGGAGATGGAGGAAGGAGAGGATAAGAAAAGGATCAAGAATGAGTATGTCCTTGACGACAGACAGGACATACATTGTAAGAAATCAGTAACATCAGTCATGGCATGGACCATGATGTCGTTCTCCCACAGCTCCCAGTGGCCAGAGGCATGTACAATCGCCAGGTCTGTGTACAATGTAGGCAGAGATATGGGACGGAGGATTAAACCACTCGCCTGCTTGAGCATTGCGTAGTTAAAAGTTAGCGGTCCCTCATCAGAGTCATCACTACTTGTACGACAGCAAAGGTAAAACCGTTTCCCCTGTGTTAGTCCCCGGGTGGCCCAGGCCCGGCAGGGACCGGGCAGGGTCCCAGGTGATCCCAGCGCATAATAGAAAAAAAAATAGAAAAAAAAATCCAAAAAAATCCAGAAAAAAACATTATGTTGTGTAAAATAATAAAATTGCAATTTAAACGACTTTTAGCTGAGGGCCACCTCGGAATTCCTTGTTAATTTTAAGATAAACATAAATGAAAAAACATGAGTCCAAATGTACCCTATTAAGTTTTAAGTTAAACCCCTTTGTCACTGTTTATACCCCAAAACCCCCCATGGTTGACCCATCACCAAAACCAACGTTAAGACCGGATTCTGACTTCTTAGCCCAAGTGCAGTCCTGGTCTGAAGTCCTTTTTTTGGGGGGGATCCTTGTCTCTTTTTTGACCCGTCTGGTTTTGCAGGGCGACCCCCCCCTCTGCCCAACTGGCCCGAGCATGCCTGGCCGGGCGTGCCACGCCGGGCGACGGCCCAACATAGTTTCCCCTCATATAATTACGATCCTCTGATTGTAGATGGGGAAGATGAGCATCAAGTTGAAGAGGAATTTCAAGGAGCTCTGACTGTGTATACAAAGGACGATGGCGAGTGTGAAGACAGATACTAGTTGCAGTTAGACCACAAGGATTGGCAGGGATCTTAGGCTGGTGTGCCGGATACTGGCCAACAATTTGCAGATCAACCGGATTGTGTTGCAAGACTAAGATGTCTTGGGTTGTTTGCATGTATGTAGTCAAACAGAGCTGCACGGTAAACCATAGGCAGAGAGGGAGAAGAGGACAACAAACGAAGGGCTGTGACAAACTGTTTCGTTGGAGTTTCACCGACTCATATATGCGTATATAGAATACTTAAAGCATATAATATGATATAATCTCTATACTATTAAAGCATGCAAAGGGTCCAGCGTGGGGCCCAGCAGAAACTGGGCTGGCACTGCTGGAAGACCCAGGGCGTGAGGGAAGGGCTGACCCAGTAGGACGGGCCGAGGGCGTGGGGGAAGACCCGACCCGGTTAGACGGGCCGAGGGCGTGGGGGAAGACCCGACCCGGTTAGACGGGTCGACGCGGGGCCGACCCTCGTGTGCAGTCGGGGAAGGGGCGAAGCGGGAAGTGGCATGGCATGAATCGACTAGCGGCGAGGCCATGGG